AGCCAGAAAATGGGTTAATTCATAACGAAGTCAAGTGTGTTGTATGAACTCAGACACTCTTTTCTCCTGGCCAGGAAGGAGATACACCCATTCACGATGCAGTCAGGCTAGGACGATTCAAGGCGGTCAAGACCCTGCTGATGTACGGTGCAAATCTTGGCATCCAGAATGAGGTGAGGAAGAACCCAGGCTGGTGGTGGTGGTGGCGGAGCACTCAGTTGCTCATGTAGTGGGCAGAGATATTCTTTGGGGCCACAAGGCTCCTGGCTGGAGGAACGCGAGTGAACGAGGTGCTCGAGCGCCTCCGTTCACATGGGAACGCATGATATAATCCCCAAACCATTCCTTGTCCTGGAAGAGCTCACCGATGGGTATTGAGAACCGTAACAGCTCAGGAAGTCAGATTAAATCTGGCTCCATTACATATGCTTCTTTTTATGGAGAAAGTTGTATCAGAGTAAAAGTGAAGTAAAAATCCTTGTCAGTCAGAGTGTTTTTTGGGAGCAACAGCAGGCATCTTTGGGGGAGTTGGAAGGTGCACTTCATGGGGGGGGGGAGAGCTGCGATGCAAAGTGGGTGAAAATGTTCCGTAACCACCTTTCAGTTTAGGGAAAATATTTGTTAGCTCCTTTTATAGCAAGCTTGCAGCTTTTACGTTCTCCGTACACAAAATGAAAAACGATCCTGCTGGATGAGTGGTCAGCTGAGGCAGCAGAAAGGAGAGCTGGGCATTGTTTTAGGCTAAAGGATATATATGTGGCACACGCCCGCAAGCTTCCCCTGAGGGCTGAAGTCATATAGCCCAGATGCAGGTTAGCGCTTCCTCATGAGGACTAGAAGACTGCTGAGTAAGGAAGAGTGAGCTTTATGGCTTCTGCCACTGATGGGCGAGATGACCTACAGGGGCCAACTGAGGAGGGGAAGGGGCTGCGGGGCCTCGGCTTTGCTTCTAATTATGGGCCGTTCTTTGTCTTGGCAGGAGGCGGTCACCCCAGTAGACCTGGTGAAGGACTGGCAGACAGGGATCCGGGAGACGCTGCAAGTGTGCGCCAACCGGCAGCAAGGCCAACCCAGGAACTGCTGAGTGTGTGTGTGCTGGGGGGCATCTTGGGCGATGGGGTGTTGCCTCCACGAGGCAGTACCCCCCCTTCCCTCCACCATCTTGTGACCAACTCACCGTCCTTGTCCCTGTTTTGCACCAAACTGTGGGCAGATCTGCCCTTCCCCTACAATCCTGGTGCCAAGAGAAAAAAAATCGGGGGAGGGCTTTCTTGCATCCCCAGGCTGGCATGAGGGAGCCTGCTGGGCCTTAGGACCCTCCACTGCTTTGTCTCAAAAGCCTATGGAGGGAGATTTTCTCTGCCTGCAGCAAACGTGGGCGGGAGAGCAGCTTTGGCATCCTTGCACGCCTCCTGGCAACCGCTAGAGAGCGGCCTGGCGGGGCTTTTGGCGAGGGAGGCCTCTGCCTTTCAGCCTCCAGAGCCAGGAGGCTTCACCATGTCAGAAGCTGGGGGGCCTGCAAGGAGAAAGGCCAAAGAGCTGGAGCTACCCTGCCAACCTCCAGACACCCAAAGCAGTCCTGTTCCACGGAGCTACCACTTCGGGCTGTAAATTCTCGGGGACTGTAATTGGCACAGAGCGCCAGGCACTGTGGCTACCTGTCTGCCCCAAGGGGCACCGGCGCTGGCCCCGCTGCTCCCTGGATCTGCGGAGGAGCCACCTTCTGGATTTTAGAGGAAGCACCTGGCCTTATTTCCCACCTGCCACAAACTCCCGTGGTCCCTGGGCAGCGTCTCCCCCAATTCTTCACTGGAAGGAGCGTCCCGCTGCAGCCCTCCCCGATGCTGTGGTTGAGGGCTGGGAATGCTTTTCCAGAGGTGGGGAGACCCTCAGGCTGCTGGAGGGAGGGCAGACTGAAGTCCTCTCGAGCTTGTTATCCCCAAAGCCAAACTCCTCTCTGGGGCGAGTCCATGCCCCCTGGTGAAGCAGAAGAAAAGTGCATCCCCCCCCCCCCTTTTTTTTCCTTTTGGCACCACCTCTTAATTCAACAAGCCAACCAGCAGCCACTGCTGTTTTGTCTCTGGGGGTCCTCACCCTCGTTCCTTGTACATTAGAGAAGTGGGGCCTGGACAGGCCGAGTTCTCCCCAACCGGCTCACGGTCCTCAAACAACCCAACTCCTTCAGTGAAAGGAGGGGCCAAAATATGGCCGGCAGCGCAGTGCTTGCACGCAGCCGGCTGGCCAACCTTTCGCAAGCCTGGTGATGGAATATTCCGGGGGTGGGTGGGCACACGCCGAGCAGGCAACCCACCTCCCCTTGTAACTCCTTTGCTTGGGGGACAGGGTTCCCCCTACTGACTTCTACCTATTCATGACTTCACGGTCTGTCTCCGACAAATGTGCCCCAGAGCCGGGATGGGCATCGGCGACGAAGGCCAGCCTCGATCTCTCAGCCTGGTATGGGAATCGTACCGGCTCTGGTGATGGATTATTTATTTATGTCTGTATTTATTTATTTCATTCCAGCTCTCCCCTTCTCCCTTTTCCAGAGAAAGGGCCACTGAGGCTGGAGAAAATTACTTGAATTTATCTTTGTAAACCAGTGCAACTTGACTTCTTGTGCCGACTTCGGCCCCAAACGTGTCGCAAATGATACCGTAGTCCTTTCGCCTGACGGCTCCGAGCCGCACTGGGCCACGATGGACAGGCAACTCGCCTCTTAGCCACCCCGGTGGCTTAAGACCGGCTTTGAGGTTGCTTTGCTGCGGGCCCGAGGTCTTCCCCGAGGTCTTCGGTATCATCTCAGGGCTGGCCCCTCCCTCCGTGCCCACCGCAGGACCTCCGATTCCCCATGGAGGGGCGCGTGGGCGAGGCTGGAGGGCGTTCCAGAAAGATACTCCGTTTAGGGGCCTGATTGTGCATTACGAAGACTTCCGTTCCTCAAAGTGTTGTGACGGCAGTGCTGCAGTGATGTGATTTTTCTTTTGTAAATAATAAAAGCGTTTTGTGTCCTGAAAGACGGGGCGTTGAGAGCAATTGTAGCGGTTGCAAAGGCTGGCTTTGAAGTCACTTCTCTCTCCTAGGCTGGAACATGACTTCCATTTATTGTAAAAAGGGGGGTCTTTTATTCACACCCACGGAATAGAAGTCTAAAGCCCCAATTTCTGGGCAAAAACCAAAAACCACAGCCTGGGTGCAGGCTGCAAGGGTCCTCTGGGCTCAAAAGTCCCTGCAACAAAATACTAGCGTATCAGTGAAGGAGGTTCCAGCCCAGCCTGCTCTTTGCTGTGCTAGCTTTCTACCTGCAGGGTTCTGCCACTTCTCCCCAAGTGCTCTGTAGCAAGTGTTCGCCATGGACGTCTTCCTTGAAATCATCCCTCAGGCGCGTCTCCTGAAAGCGTGACAGCCAGCAGAATTAGGAGGGAGATGCCAGTTGCCCAAGGACGGAGGGTGGCAGAAACTCCCCGGAACAATCTGCTTCCCTAAGAAAGCAGAAGGATCCACTCGCTGAACCTGGTTACTAATGGAACCCATTTTCTGAATTCCCCCCATATGATCCGTAAACCAACAAAACAAGCTGGGTTCGCCCCACATGCTAAACCACAAACCCAAAACTAAGGTTAGCATTAACCTAGCTTAGTGTGTTGTGCCAATGCATCAGCTAGATCTTGATCGGACCAGGCTGCACCTGTGTGTGACTGCCTGCCAAACAGACCAAGGGAGAACAGAAATGGGAAGAGGGAGGGGTTCCCATCCGCACGGCTGTGGCCTCAAAGGAGAAGGGACAAGAGCGCCATTCTCTTTCGTGCGTAAGAGAGCCGCTGCACAGGTTGGACAGCTGGAGCCAAACTTCTCCTGTGGCACCAGGGATTTCTCTTCCTCCGGAACGTGTCTCGCCCGTCTCATCCAGATTACCGTCTCAGAAATCAACTGTATCTAATCCTGCATACATAGCTTGGGTCCCATAATGGCAGACTGGCCAAAAAGCACATCTCCGCAAGAGGACTGGCGTGCTCCTTCCACCACCCCAAAATCAGGCCCTTATCAACAGGCATCCTTGTGGCTGGGGAAAAAAATTATAAATTGGTGCCTCTCTCCGGTATTATATGCTTCCTAAGAAAGGGGGGGGGCGGTTAACCCCAAACTCTTTTTAGTCCCTGCCCCTGAATCATTACAATACTCACCTCAACTAGGAGAGAGAGAAAAGACGCAGGTTTCTTCTGCCGTCATCAGTAACTTATATACAGATGTGTAAAGATAGATAATTCCATTGGAAGATGCAGCTGGAGGACGGGTTACAAATAATTTACCCAAACCGAACACACAACGTTTCAGACACGTTCTGCTGTTGGCTGTGAAAAGGGAGAGGCTAAGCAAGGGAGAGGAAGGGAACTCGACTCCCTTCTCCCTAAACCCCTTGTTTCGTTTTTTTAATTTACTTTAAAAAGTAAGATTCCAGGATGGGCATGTCCGGGAGGGGAAACACTGTGCGGAGCAACCGGAGGGGGAAAAGTCTCTCTGCCAAAGCTGGAGTGGAGGGTTTCTCTTGCCCAAGGGAAAAACGGAGTTTCCAGCGAGCCCCCAGAGCCTGGACTGGAAATCCAAGGTGGAAGATAATCCAGGGAAAATGAGAGGGCGAAAGGGGCAGCCCCAGAAAAAGTGGGGAGGGCTCTTCTGACAGTCATCTTTTCAAGGAGAGCCATGGGAGGGAGAGTTGGCTGGCTGCAGGAGGAGTCCTTTGGCAGAAGGAGCACATCCCTGGTCTGGTCAAGGGCAGCTGATTCTGGGCAAAGGGGGCAGCTGGGAAGCTCAATGCCAGGAAGCAGAAGAGATGTGTGGGATTCCCAGGTCTTGGGCTTTGGCACTGTGTGGGCTGGGACAGGGCCTGGGGGGTGCTGTGCCTGCTGCAGGCACTTGGGTGAGCCTGGGGAGTCGCGGGGAATCCCGGCTCGCAACACAGGTCAGCAAGGCGGGCCATTCCGAACCCAGGAAGGCGGGAGAGGTCTGTGCCGCTGGCCCCACAGCTGGGGTCGGGGCCTGCTGCCAAGCGGAGAGTGGCAACTGGCGCAACTGAATGTTGGGGCTGTTGCTGCAAAGTCTGGCACGGAGTCTGGCAAATGGAAGTGCTTGTGTTGGGGGCCTCGAGGGATTAGCACGGCGGGGAAGTTGAAGCACAGAGAAGTGAGGCACCGACAAGGCAATGAGCAGAAGGGCCTGGCCGCCGCCGCCGCCTCCCCGCCCGTCCGTCTGCATCACCGATGTCAAAAGAATCGAGTCTGTATTTGCAGGCTAGTGCTGATCAGCCAGAACACACTTTGCCCAGGTCCACCAACCCTCCGCAGTCAAGCGCTGCTGACAAACGTCTTGTGCGTGGTTCGGAGCGCCGGAAGCCACTGGTGTTCGGTCCAGCCAGCCCCCCCGAGATGGCCAGGCTCCCACCGGCTTAGGAGGCTCCTTTTGGAAACGCAGGTGCCAAACTAGAAGTCCGTCTGAACCGAGGGCGGAAGCCAGGAGAAGTGCTGAAGGTTTTAGGGGAGGGATCCTCCTGGGCTCCCCCGCCTGCAGCCCTAACGCCACTTGCGGAAGTCAAACCCCCGTGCTCTGACTTGCCTCTTCCAGGAGATTGAACTTGCTTCGGCTTTTCCCTGGAACACGGAGACAAGGAGCGGCCATGAAATGCAACTGCGCGACCCTCGCGGGGGCACGGCGGCAGAACAGGAGCTGTGAGCAAACGGCGTGTGATCTATGGGAGGGGAAACCTTCTGGGCAGGGAAGGCTGGACGTCGCAAGCTGCCAAACGGTGCGCGGACAGAGTTCCCGAAAACCCTGGCTGAAATCTCAGCTCAGCCAAACTTCCTAGGCAGAACACACGTCTCAAATATCAGCCTTCCACCTGCAAGGGGGAATGAATACCGCAGGCCTACTTTACAGGTCTGTTGTGAGACAGTGCAATTGAAAGGCAGCTAAGCACTGTCTGTCCCTTACGTTAATATACATCTCATCTATTCTGCCAAACTTTACACGCTTGTTTTACAGATCGTTTGTAGACAGGGACCTCTGTGGGTCCCCCCCCCCTCCAAAAATGCCATGGTTTGCACGTTTTCCAACTCATGCTAATCTCCATAAGGTCTAGAAACGTGAGCAGAGGATTCTGGGATGCCGAACCCTGCAGGGGACCTCAATTTCTCTATGTCCTCAAGTTAATGGGACAATAATGAAGCAGCAGGGATCGTAACGGATATGCAAATGGATGGGCACTGACTGCTAAATAAGAGCTGCTGATATTTTGCACACAGACAGGTGGGAAAGAAACAAAGCATTCTCTGATAGGATCAACTATCCACACAGAATACATTTTCATAATTCTTTGTGCTATTTTTTGCTATTTCACATATTTAAGTTTTCTAGTCACAAGGAGAGGGCAATGGAAATGGGATGGTTCAACTCCCTTTGGGCTCAAGACATTTCAGAAGTCCTCCTCCCTTTTTAAATATGGCTATCTATTTCAAATTACTCCAAGCGATTCACAACAACATACAAGGTCTTCCCTTCCTCTATGTTTATCATCACAACAAACCTGTAACGTAGGCCAGGTTGAGAGTCAAGAAACTGACTCAGATTAACCTAGTCACCATCAGGCTGAGGGGAATTTCAATCTGGGAGTTTGTCAAATCACAATCACAGACCCTGCAAGCCAGCATTCCCTACCCAGAGGGCTCTGGGGGTGTGGTGACCACAACTCCCAGAATTCCCAAGCAAAATCCCTGGGAATTCTGGGAATCAACGTTCCCAACACGTCTGGATAGCAAGGATTGGGAAATGGCTACTCTAACCATTATACCATACAGATAGTCCTCACTTAACAACCACAATAGGGATGGAAAATTTGTTGCTAAGCAGGGCGATTGTTAACCAAGGCATTGCATAACCACACCTGATTTTATGACATTTTTTTGCCACAGTTGTTAAGCGAATCCCCGCAGTAGTTAAGTGAAGCATATGGTCGTTAATCGAATCACGCAGTTCCCCATTTATTTTGCTTACTGGAAGCCGGCTGGAAGGTCACAAAAGGCAATCATGTGGCCCCAGGATGCTGCAACCATTGTAAGTGTGAGCTAGCTGCCAAGGGCCCAGATCATGATCACATGACCATGGGGACACTGTGACAGTTGTAAGTGTGAGGACTGGTCATAAGTAGCCTTTTTCAGCACCATTGTAACTTTGAACAGTCACTAAACAAACAGTTGTTAAGTGAGGACTACCTGTACAGGCTCAGAAGTTCTACAAAATGGCCACAAAAGCAGAAGAAAGGGGAGAAGCTAAATTATAAATTCAGTATTGATTTCTGTGCTTCTAAAGAAATCCAGGGGGCACAACCTTCATCTGAACATGGATTATTCCTAGAATTAGAATTGTATAAAAGGGAAATCTGGAGGTTTCTTCTGTTGTTTTCTGAGTGTTGAAACGGGGAAGTCTAAAAGCGAGGGGCTCTGGAAGAGTGGCCCAAGGTGGCCCCCATGCAACATGCTTAGCCAGGCCATCTAAAAGGCCAGGCTCATGAATTTGGCCAACATACTGTGTTTGGGAAGTGTCTGGTTCGTTTCTTTCATGGCTTCGTGACTTAGATGAACCTGGGTTAATTTATGGTTCAATGTACTGTGCGAACCCGAAAATGGGATCACTCAGTAACCGGGTGAAATACCTTGTGTGAACTCTGAATTCAGGTGGAACCAAAGCTCTGAATCACGAGAGTCATGGACTCATGAAAAGCAATTCCCTGTTAATACCTGGAAATGCCCAAGGGACGCAACAGAAGGAACAGAGATAGCAAGCAGGGCCCCTACTTCTAATCACACACGTGTAGAAAAGCGAGCAGGCTAATAAGGTTCGCTGCCTTGTAAACACTGTGGGAAGACAGTTGTCTTGGTCTGGGATAGCCAAGAATCAGAAAGAGTCTGGAAGCCTCTTTGAGACGGACCATTTCATTTTGAGGCATAAGCTTTCGTGCAAATAAAATGGTCCGTCTCAAAGGGGCTTCCGGTCCTTTTCTGCTTCTTGACCACTTTGCAAGTGGTCAAGATATCCATCTGATGGGACAATGTGGACAACAGAATATACCAAGTGGCGCATCTCCACGTTTCATTCTTGGCTGTTGTTTTCACTCTGGGAGCTCAAGATACATAAAGGTCTCCCACAACCGTGCCTCCCCCCGCCCCGTGAAGTGGACCAGGGTGAGAGAGGGCGGTGCTCCTCACTCACTGACCTCCATGGTCAAAGGAGGGATTCCTTAATTCCCCCAATCTCACCTCTTAATGCTGGACCACATTAGCTCTTCCGTCTCATGAATGGAAGCACATGCATCGGGGGGGGGGGGAACAGAGAAAGAGAGAGAGAAACTATCTGAAGATATTTACCTTATGATTTAAAAAAAGAAAGGGACTCCAGGCTATGGCAGAGAGGCCTGTGTTAAATGCGGTTTTCAATTGTGCCAAAGAAAGAGAGATTTAGCGGGAAGGCTGGAGGGAGGAAGGAGGAAACAGAAACAGGAGAAAGAGCAGTGTTTAGCTCCTAAAAGCAGATGCTGAGAAAGAGAACCACTGAGAGAGCTCGGAGGACAGCTTTGCTGGGCCAGGGGCTCCAGTGATACAGCCCTGCCCCTCTCTTTGGAAGCCCCTCCCTTTGCTCTGGGCACCCCTGAATGCCTGGATATGACCCACCCCACCTGGGTGATATTTTTCTCCTGCCCATCACTGTCTCCAAAGCTCTTTAGCTCCCCAACGGTCTTGGCTGAAAAACCCTTGCAGGAGGCCGGCTTTCTTCCTTGACCTGTCGCTCAAAACCACCTTTCTTCTGCAAAGCTATTCAGGCAGCCCCTTACCTCAATATTTTGTTATAAAGATGCCTACTAGGTATATAATTTCCCTTTTTCAGTTCTATCTTCTAGGCCAAAGGAGACTGCGAGCTCGTTGAGGCAAGGGTCTGTCCTCCAGTATCTTGGTTTGCACAACCCAGGTTCTGTATCATGATCCATGAAAGCACCAGGGTCTGCACCCCAATCCAAAAACATTGCCAGCACATTCCCCCCCACTTTAAAAGGAAATGGCTTATTCATTTTTTTTAAAAAAAAGATGGTTGAAATCTTATCAGATTGCTGAATTTCACAATATTCCGAGGACTTTTACACAAGATCTTAGCTGCCATCATTGACATTTCAACAGATTTAGTGAGATTTGGAAAGGGGGTTGGGGGATCTGGGTTGTTGTGCAGGAACTGCCATAGATCAAGACAGAACACGGGTTCCATCCAGGACAACTGTGTCTGCATTCCCCACCTACTTTTATCCCGGAAAACCCCAGAATGGAAAGCTCCACGTTGCACAGGATTCTCAAGGAGCCTCATTTGGTTGGCAGAGAGGGCACCCAGATACTTTGAGGTTCTGGGAAAGGAGTAGGCTGCCCCCACCAATTCAGCCCCCTTTCCATGGGAAACCAGGAACAAAGCTCAGGGATCTTTGTCTGCTGATCTTTTCTAGGAGGAGATCCTGAGATGCCTCCCTGGAAGCCCAGTGTTCTCCAGAACATAGCATGGGGTGGGATAGGACCAACCCCACCCAACTCAGAGCCCCATCAGCTGTTGAGAGTAGCAGATTTGAAAACCTCTAATTCCCAGCTTCTCCTGTTTCTGCCCTGATGTGGTTTTGTCTCACCTTCCCTTTTCTCTGACTGATCTCGGGCCCTCCATTCTTGATGCCTCCTTTCCTCTTTCTCTCTCGGGAACCCTCTCCCCCATTCTCTCTGACTCTGACACTCCTCCTCTGTTTGCACAAGCATTCTAGGAGGACAGCCATGTGACTTATGGCAGCCCAAACACAGGAGGAGTCTGGTGGCACCTTGTCTAACTAATAAATCTTATTTAAAAATATCAGTAGCTTTTCTGAGCTACTGCTGGTGCAGCTGATGAAGCCAGCTGATGAAGCTCACAAAAGCCAATGTTTTTTAATAAGATCTGTTAGTTAGAAAAGGTGCCACCAGACTCCTCCTGTGTTTTTGCTCGAGCAGAAGCCCAACTCTGATCTGAAGGCTTCTGAAGTTAGCTCAGGGGGCCACAGAGAACCCAACAGGTGGGAAATCAGGGGACAGTCCCAACTAGTCACTCCCGCAGCAAAAGGGCCTACCTGCTGCAGCATTTTTGTCATTGAGGAGCTTTGTCTGGCTACTGGGGATGATTTTCAGATCCACAGCCTCAGGGGATTGAGGTGAGTTCTGTATTCTTGAGGCCATAAGAGCATTGAGATACTGCAAACGGGTGACCTGCAAAGAAGCAACGCATGCAGAACGTCAGCCAAATAATATTAAAAATCATCAACATCACCACCACTCCTACTACATACTGCTCTTTCACTTGAAGAAGCCCAGAGCTGCATGCAAAAAGAATGAAAGGATCTTCAATTTTTTAAAATAACAACCACTCCAGTAAAAAAGAATGAAGTGTGACAATTCAAACTAAATTTGTTTAAACGTTTGGGATAGTTGTCACCCTGCAAATATCCAAGTGAAGATGTGCGTCTTTTAATTGGCGTTTGCAAACATGTATACAAAATATTATATACAAAGAGAGAAAAAAAAGAGAAAAGAGAAAGGAAAGAGCCACCAAAGCATATATGTCCTAAGTATTAGGTAGCCCTAAAGATACAGGCAACCCTGGGTTAAGAACACCTGGTTTAAGGATGACCGATGGTTAAGAATGGAGCCTACTGCAGCAAAATTTGAGCTAAATGCACAATGGTTTGAGTTCATTACACAATACTACTTATACAGTATTACACAATAATACTGTTCTAGCTTATATACAAATTTGACTTAAGGACAGACCTTGGGAATGGAACTTGTTCTTAAACTGGG